TAGAAATTTTTTTTTAATTTTTTTGTTAATTTGGTTTAATTTAATGGAATATAATACTTAATATTCTAAATATTAACTCGACAACACCACACGAACAAGTGATACGACTAAGCTACATATTTTTAGCAGAAATATTGTATGAACCTATTTAACAATATATTAACGATGTATTTGTTTATTAGTTTTGCCTGTAAAAGCAATGGATAGTGTATTAATAATATATAACGGAAAAATTGTATAATCTTTAGACAGGACAGCTCGCCTCGGTCTCTGTGAGACAGCCGACCGGACGCTTTTGATAAATAATATATATACTATATATTGTATTCGATCAAACACGTTTCAGTTCCTTGGTTTACCTTTGACGACTGGTGAAGTCTACATTCGTATATGTTTAAACCCTCGGTAAAGTAATAAAAGTATTAAACTCACTATAATGAAATATCATAATCAATATTTTCTTTATATCTGTACAGAAGTAGATATAGTTCCTAACTTGTAATCGATACGAAAATATAACCCTTGAATTAATGAAGTAGATGAGACGTAATTTTTTCTTTAATCGTATAGAATTAAGTTTATATTATGATCAAATATTGAGTATATCTTTTTTTGTTGTATTCACTATTAGTGATAGTCGACGAATCGGTTAAGTTATCAATTACGTATTTAATGGAAGACTGCCCTGATTCGTTTTCTGTTGATGTTTATCATTGGAGCTTGATTTCATTGACAATCACATAACTTGGCAAAAATCATCACACAAGTCTTTATGATACAAAAGATATCAATATCAAATTATACATCCTATGTGGAACAGGTATTAGATGAATAATATGTCTTATAATCAAAGTCTATACGTTTTAACAATATTAATGATTTGAATGTTTACCATACCCAGATGTGTGAACTAATATAACAAATATCATAACACATGTGATTTTGCTTGAGCAGTGAATTACTACAAATTAGTCGAACTCACACAATGCAAGTGAACTTTGACTCAATCCATTTTAATTGTTATTGAAATACATTGTCAGTAAATCATGTCTCCGATATAAATAATTTGAACATTATGACATATAATTAAGCCCCGAAGAGGCATGTAATCACGAGTCTCAGACGGCAAGCTAAGCTTATTGAGAATTATTTTAATATAGGAATCTGTATTTTTATAATGAAACTAAGATAAGTTACAGACACGATAATCAGTTACTCCTGTACGTCACATGTCTTAGATTTAGAGAGGATCGGTTGATGTTTTACTAAGCCTTTTGGCTTCCATGTTTTTGTTGTGTTATATATCCATTGAGTTGACGGTCACTATCTACATATATTTGCGTTTTAGTGGCTTGTTGAACGTAGAGAAGCAATATTAGGAGCGAGTTTGATGTATCATAATGTAAAGATATATTGTCTAACAGTAGGAATCATGAAATCATGTTAGTGTAAAGTGAACAATTTGTCTTTGGAAAACTAGAAGTGGGAGATATCTTACAGGATGTTCAAATGTGTAAGTTTCTACTAGTGTTCACAAATGTTCATACATTGGTTACAGGTACATACTTGTGCAATATATACAAAGTGTACAATAGCTCACACAATTTTTGAATTCTGAATTTGAAATTTGAATGACACAATTTGAATCCTCCTGTAAGGTGAGGCTTGCTGACATGCTAGAAATGCACATTTTGCCATTTCTTATTGCCTTATATGACACCATAGGCTACATAGAATAGTTCTAACTTTAAGCTTCAAACTATGCAGTGTGAATGTTATACAGATATGTGAAATGAACAAGTAACACATATATGTAGATATTGATTCCTAATTTTGACAATTCGGTATTTTTACAATGTTGGAAGTGTGAGCATTGACTGCATTTATATTTATTTTATATTAGAGTGATATGTTGCAAAATTGATTGTGTGAACAGTTCCGAAATTTGTATTGTTTTAATGTAAACGCTACCGATGGATGTTTAGTTATTAATAAATGCAAGATATTCACAATATATTAAGTCTTCAGTGGGTTTGTGACCGCATTCGTACATTTAACTAATAAAACAGAAATGCAATCCGACTTTTTAAATGTAATGCAAATTTTGATACAATGAAATTTAATTGCAATTGTGAATTAATTCTGCTGGTTTTATGCGTGTCGTAATTTTACTGTCCCATTCTTGCAAAGCACATTCATAAATATGTCCCGTAAGGTCACAGAGACTGTCCTTGTCCTGCCTTGTACATGCAAGAGTATTTTCACCCATATTCACTCTTTTCTCGCTAATATGTAAATTATATTCGTCATAGAGTACTTCAGCAGTCATAATTACATATTACATAACTAAAACTCGGCACGCTCGACTCAGTACTAAGTAATAGCTCGATACGTTTCTTTTGTCGTTGTCACTAAAGAATATACTTGCAATTAATTTTTTTGTACCATCTAGTTTGTATGATGCGGTTCCAATGTGTGTTTTGAATGATTTACTTTGATACATCTGTAGAGTAGTATGTACGCTAATGCTACGATATTTTATTATTAAGTGCATTAGTTTGGAAGATTATATGATTTCGTGAAACCTGCAGGCCTAATGTGTCTTTGTAATACCGCAAGTGTTTGTAACAGTTTATTGTAATATCTATAATTAAGCCAGTTACACCTTATCTAATCACATATAGCAGATATTTGTAATGTCTTGAAGCAGCTTTAAGAAAAATGTGTGTGAATTAATAATGTCTAAAACGAACAACGCTTACAGTGAATTTACATATTAACGCCATGCATGCTAATTTAGAAAATTAATGGTCAACAGTTGTTGATTAGTCTCAGAAGCATTATTTTAAGATTAGAAAATGATTAAGCGACATAAAAACAGGTACATGATATTGGTGTAATTGGCTGGTCTATGAACTAATTTGTGCACCCTTTTATAGACAGTAATATTGAAATGTATCCATAGGTGTATTTAGTTGTTTAATTGATTTAATGCAGCATCGCGGCCGGACAGTTGTTAGAAAGCGTTAGTTGGTATATTTTAGTTGTAATGTCGAACGTTTTATATTCCTGTATTGTGAAATGTGCATCATTTTACGTTGTGATCATGTGAGTGCAAAATTATTATACTTTTAACCAGTTTACGTTGGCGATTCGTCAATAAGGGCAGCAGATGTATACAGTGCGTTTATTTTCTGCGTAGTCCAAGAGCAGTATTTTTTAGATGTAATCTTTATTATTAAAAACTTTTTTTATTTTAACATTATGAAATTCGATCGTTAGTTAATTTCTAACATGAAATATTTAATAAAGAAATCACAAAATTTATTTGCGTTTGATTTTATACAACAACCAATTTTTAACCGTTGGGGTGTGAGGGGCGAACCACCATCTTTCGCCCCAAGCCAACCTCACCTGCCCGCGGTGCATCCTGCTGAACGACGAACGAGGCTCTGGCGACCGACCGATGGCGGTATATCCATCCCAATAGGCGTAGCTAAATACAACAGGCCGGTGACGGGCAGCAGCGTTACCGGTGCGACAAGCTACGCCCTGCGATCGCCAACCCGCCTGCCCAGCGTGGCGATTATGGGCAAACCCCTCCCATGCAGACGCAACAAAGGCCACGGCCCCCAGTTCCCGGCGGCCCCGCTATTCCTGGTCATGGTGGCGACCACGGTAAAGGCGGGGCAGGGGGTGCGAAGAATCTCCGGGCTACGGGAGGCCACCACAACCGACTGACCCTGGCTACGTACAACGGACGCACGCTACGGCTAGACTCGCATCTGGCGCAACTTGAGGTGGAACTTGGGAAGATTAGGTGGCATATCCTAGGGCTATGTGAAGTCCGAAGAGAGGGGGAGGACACCATAACCCTCGAGTCAGGCCACCTAATGTACTTCCGCGAGGGAGACCAACAATCCCAAGGTGGGGTTGGGTTTCTGGTAAATAAGTCCCTATCTGACAACGTTGTGGAAATTTCCAGTGTGTCGAACAGGGTAGCGTACCTCATTATCAAGCTCACCGAGAGGTATAGCCTCAAGGTTGTGCAAGTGTACGCACCGACCTCGGCACATTCGGACGACGAGGTGGAGGATATGTACGATGACATATCGAGGGCCCTCCACTTCACAACTAAGACCCACTACAACGTTGTTATGGGTGACTTCAACGCTAAAGTGGGAGTACAGAATTGCGGCCAATCGGTAGTAGGATCCCATGGATTTGGAAGCAGGAATCATAGGGGGCAAATGCTGGTCAACTTCCTCGAACGGGAGGGGCTGTTTTTGATGAATTCTTCCTTCAAGAAACAGCCCCAAAGGAAGTGGACGTGGCAAAGCCCCGACGCTATGACCAGAAATGAGATCGATTTCATCATGACGGATAGAAAGCACATATTCAGAGACGTCTCAGTGATCAATAGGTTTAATACCGGTAGTGATCACCGACTTGTCCGGGGCTCTCTGAATATCAACTTTAAGGCGGAACGTGTCTGTTTGATGAAATCCAGGCTCCGACCAACTCGGCTCCAAGCCATGACAGGATCTGAAACGTTTCCAGTCAAAACTGGAAAACCGATTCGCTGCCGTGGAAACCACAATCGACGTAAACCAGAACCTCAAAAATGTGGTTCAGATCCTCAGGGAAGAAGGTATGAGATTTTGTGAAATGCAGCGTAAGGGCAGGAAGTCGAAGCTTTCAGAAAGGACCCTAGGGCTGATGAAGAAACGACGTGAAAACCCACCTGTCACTTTGTCGGCAAAGCGGACTCTAAACCGAGAGATCAGTAAACTCGTACGACACGACCTCCGGTGCTCCAATACTCTTTCAATTGAAAGAGCGATCGAGCAAAATCGGGGGTCAAAAGTGTTCGTACAATCTCTTGGAAGAAGCCACCTGACAAAGTTGACTACAGAAAGTGGAGAAGTCGTTGCTTCGAAGCCGGCAGTCCTTTTGGAAGTGAAAGCTTCTATGGCCGGTTATACGCTTCGCATGCATCTCGACCTGATCCCGAAAATGAGGACTCTAGAGCCACATTAACACGTCACTACACCGAAGACCTGCCAGAAGTTAGCATTGACGAAATCGAGATGGCTCTTGGACAGCTGAAAAATGGAAAAGCCCCTGGAGAGGATGGCGTTACAACAGAGCTGCTGAAGGCCGGGGGTAAACCCGTACTAAGGGAGCTCCAAAAGCTCTTGAACGCTGTCCTGTTTGAAGGGAGAACTCCAGAAGCGTGGAGTAGGAGTGTGGTCGTCTTGTTCTTCAAAAAGGGTGACAAGACACGGTTGAAGAACTATCGACCCATATCCCTTCTAAGCCACGTCTACAAGCTGTTTTCGAGAGTCATCACGAACCGTCTTGCGCGAAGACTCGACGAATTCCAACCACCGGAGCAAGCTGGGTTTCGGAGCGGATATGGCACCATAGACCACATCCACACAGTGCGGCAGATTATACAGAAGACCGAAGAATATAATCAGCCCCTGTGTCTAGCATTCGTGGACTATGAGAAAGCCTTTGACTCGATCGAGATCTGGTCTGTTCTGGAGTCCCTGCAGCTTTGCCAAGTAGATTGGCGATACATCAAAGTGATGAGATGTCTCTACGAAGCCGCCACCATGTCCGTCCAAGTACAGAATCAGCAAACAAGGCCCGTACCATTGCATCGAGGAGTGAGACAAGGGGACGTTATTTCCCCGAAATTGTTCACAAATGCAATGGAGGACATGTTCAAGACGCTGCACTGGAAAGGGCGTGGCATCAATATCAATGGCGAATACATCTCTCACTTGCGATTTGCAGATGACATCGTCATCATGGCAGAGACGTTGCAGGACCTACAGCAAATGCTGAATGACTTAGCTGACACTTCTGTACGCATCGGCCTACGGATGAACTTGGATAAAACCAAGGTCATGTTCAACGAACATGTACTACCGGAACCGATTGCGGTACACGGTGCCGTTCTCGAAGTTGTTCAAAATTATGTGTACCTCGGGCAGACATTGCAGTTAGGTAGAAACAACTTCGAGGACGAGGTGAACAGAAGAATTCGGTTGGGTTGGGCAGCGTTTGGGAAGCTACGTCGAGTCTTCTCATCGTCGATCCCACAGTGCCTTAAGACGAAAGTCTTTAATGAGTGCGTCCTACCCGTCATGACATACGGAGCTGAAACGTGGACACTTACGGTACGGCTGGTCCACAAGTTCAAAGTCGCTCAACGTGCTATGGAAAGGGCTATGCTTGGCGTTTCTCTAAGGGATCGCATCAGAAATGAGGTGATCCGGCAGAGAACTAAGGTCACCGACATAGCGTACCGGATCAGCAAGTTGAAGTGGCAGTGGGCTGGCCATATTAGCCGCAGAACCGATAACCGTTGGGGAAAACGAGTTCTTGAGTGGAGACCGCGTCTCGGCAAACGTAGTGTAGGACGCCCACAGGCCAGGTGGAGTGACGATTTGCGCAAGATGGCTGGCAGGAGCTGGATGCGAGAAGCCCAAAATCGATCTAAGTGGCGTGCAATGGGAGAGGCCTATGTCCAGCAGTGGACTGCGATAGGCTGATGATGATGAATTTTTAAAGACTGTTTGTCATCTGATTGTTTTCTAGTAGGAGTATGATTGGATATTGGGTGGTTGGAGTAAATCAAACAATTATACACTGAATAATCATCATATATTCCATATAAATATAAATTTATTTTTGGATAACCACACTTTAGTATTGTTAGACAAGTGACTGCACTAACTATACACTAATTATTATGAGATAGATCTTATAGTATACTCGTAATTGAATTGCTGTGAGTTCGATTAAGTGCCTGGTGGTGGTGGGGGGCCATTGTTCACCCACTGGGCTTGGGGACCTGGCATTGTGCAGAAATTGGATCCGAAAATAGGCATATTGTGTCTGAACGGAGGTGGCACCCCTATATTAGAAACTGGAGCACTTTGCATTCTAGCGCTGTTGCCGAATTGGAACAAGTTGCCCATAAATGGAGGTGGTGTACTCGGATTAAATGCGGGTGGGAACATTGGCGGTCCTGTGAAGTTCGGGGGAGCAGTAAAAGGTCCGTGGCCCCCAGGATCACCGTTAGGGTGTGGTGGTGGGGTTCTAAGACCTATGTTATTAGGCCAGGGCCTTGGGGTTCTGGGGAATGCGTTTGGGTTGTTCCTTCGAGATCCTGCAGAAAAGGGGTTCCTTCCGCGACTGGGCCCGCTACCGAACCTGCTGCTGGATTCTGAGGGTCTTTGGTTACGTCGTTCTGGTACCTTACGAGCGTTTTTGGAAGTTTCTCCGTCTTCAGACTCTTCAGTTTTGTTCTGTCGTTGTTCTTTTCTGGCTTTATTTGCTTTTCTTTCTTCCTCGTCATCGGAGTATTCTACTTGATGTGGAGGTGGTTCTATGTCGTTTAGCCATGAAGCATCAGAGCCTTTTATTCTGAAAAAGCAAAGACAATAATAAATTATGCATGCACTACAATAATCTATAATAAAATTCTGAAATCATGTACAGTAATACATTTTAAGTACACACGAACATGCGAATTGAACAAACTGGTCTCAAGAATTAAATGAACCAATTATCACGGATTACGACAGAAAATTCCAATGAATTTTCGACTGAGAAGGATGGACTGAATACACTATTTCAATATTCGTTACACCGTCCCTTACACCCTGTATAATATACATATCGCAACCTCAGTAATATAAGGCGTCAAGTCAAAATTTTAGTAGTGAGATTTTAAATGCTAAGGACACAAAATGAAATTCTCTACCGGTTAGCACTGACAGAAAAGAAAAAGGAAAATAATGACTCGGTGCGTCTCCCCGATGAATATTTGCCTCTCCCCGCTCGTCTCCCGTTCATAGTGCTACAAGATCACAAGCAATAAAGTGTCCATATTTGCCGAAACCGAACAGTCCAAACTTTGTTCTATTCGTATTTGTGCAAAAAAAAACAGTTTGTCCTAATCTTTTTATATTATATAGAACAATTTGTAGTTCCGCCTTTATATTTTACAAAAATTAGTTAACTTTGGGTCTGATTCGTAATAGATCACTAAATTGCCAAAAAGTAAAAATGATTTTTGTACTATATGGGCTTAACTTAAAGGTATTTTTTCAATCACATTTAATTTGTGGAATTTATTTATATTTTCCTATTTTATATTTTTTTTATTCATATATATTTATATCTTTTTACGGCTATTTATAGTATAGTTATCATCATATAACATCTGCAAAATTTTACATTTCTAACTTAAATAATAAACATTTTATTCGAAAAATAAGCTGGAATGTAAGAATCCAGAATCTTTAAACGCGATTTCCCAAAAAACTACTTTTTTGTATTATGCCTTTATATTACTAAGGGTGCAATATGTGCCTATGTTCCATATACAGGTCTGTACAAAAAACAAATATTTATACCTGTTCTAAATCTAAACTCATAAAATACGAATTGCGCTTAATATCCAGATAACGCACCGTGATATTTTTAACAGAATCTATATTAAATATAAAATTATATTATTCATTTTCCATCGTATAAGCGATGTTTACACAGCTGTTTTATTAATTACTCAGTTTCAAACAAAAAAACATGTTTTCAGTAACTTGTTTCTATATAACTTTTCCGTACTCTGAAAATATCGTTTAAAGTCAATGTGTTTACAAATTATGATAACAAGCTCTCGTTTCTGCCACTATATCCGTAGTATCTGAATACGCTAAATTTGAAGTGTGAACGGAGTATATAATATACATTACTAGCTTTGCCCGTGGCGCCACCACTCACGGTAAGAAGTGGCCTATATCCGACCTATCTTATCAAAGTATCTCTATGCCAAAGTTTAGTAAATTCGGTTCAGCGCGTAACAGACAGAGTTACTTTCATATTTATAAATAAGTAGGGATTATCTTACTTCATGAGTTCTGAGAGGAACACATAGTTGGTGTGTTGTGTCTTTGGCGCGATGTACACGTCCATGCCGGGCGCTACGCCGCGCTCGCGCACGTGCTCCGCTGAGTTGAAGCGGACGCAGTAATGCGGCTCCGTTATCTGCCCCAAAAAATATATTATAAGTTTGGATGAACTATTAAACACTACTGATGTTAGAAATGTGATATTGTTATACAGTCATAGTTAATTTTTCAGAGTCATGGACTCGTGGACATTAGTCAGAAGTAAGGTGGTAAAGCAGTGGACTATTAAAGGCTGTTGATGATGAAGGTGATAAAAACCCAAGTGACCAACCTAGTACCTAAGTTTAATACATAAATACCTTGGTAAGCAATAATGTACAGATTGTAAATAAATAATTTAGATATAATTCAAGAAAATCACTAAATTATAAATGAAAAAAAAAACAGCTTCTTACATTATGACACGAATTCATTACTGGGCGGATCGAAGTTGATGATACTTTTTCTTAAAGTTAAGTCAAGATACATAAGAGTTTATTTCTAATTAATTGTGTGTACACTACAATTACTTAAATAAACAGAATACAATGATATGAGGTTAAAAACCATCAATGAGATGTCGTATTATTTTAATAGCCATCTTCAGTTGCAGATAATGGGGCTCAATCGCCTGAACGTAATGGCTGAATGTTAAACTGACTTAAGTGCTTAACCAAAACTTGATTGAATGTTCCTCAATATAAATATAAATAATAAACTTTTAATCAACAACGAAAAAAAGGAATTCTTAATTTATTTTCGTCATATATATATATTTAGTTTTGGTCTAATTTAAGTTTAAAGAAAAAATAAGACCCCTAAGAGATGAAAATAAAGGAATAAAGAACACAGAGTTTTACAATATTCAAGTACAACAAATGATACAAGTTATACAATTCATCATGATGTAGGCAGTAGGTACATTGACGTAGTTGTACTTTTTTATAGTTAATTATTATGATTACGTACGGTTCTTTTTGAAAAACCTTAATGTTAACTGTTGTATGCCCAACCTAGATCTTAAATGGTCATACTCAAATACGTCGAGTACTTTTTCAAATTTACTTAGTTTGGTTTTTAAATGGAATAAAATGATTCATTTTTATGGGACTTTTAGAGAGCAGAGTACACCCATTTGCAGTTATTTATATTATAAATATATAATATTGTTAAGAGTAGCATTGAGCTAACGTAGCTGGATTGTCGCCAATTATATTTAGCGTGCCTTAGCTTTCATCGTGCCTTATACAAAAGTAGGTTTGAATTTTTCAGAGACAGACAATTGGCTGGAATCCCAATAGGATTTTTGAACCCTAAATGAAATATTCCAAAACGTACGAACGTTTCACAATTAAAGTACAATTGATGAAAATTTCCTTACATATCCATTTATGATGCGCTACTGCAGATCTAGTATGCTGGATGGTTGTTTTTCTGAGATTTTTTTACCAAAATAAGTTCAGTGTACTTTTGATGGCTGAGGAAATATGATAAGTAATGTACACGTGTACGTAATTTGACAAAAACATAATTATTGTTTGTGTGCTGCAATATTTCTAAATTTTTTACAGACATTTTAATAATAAATTAATAAAATTTAATAACGTTGCACGGGAATGTTTCGTGCATTTACTAAAGCTTTCAATAAAAAAAAATAGAAATTGTGTTAAGTACAATCCATAAATCTTGCATATTATATAAAATTACGTCAACACTTTCACTCTGCAAAAAGTTTCCTCATTTATATATTACAATAATATAACCGGAATATTTATAATAAAACAACCGAAATACAATTTCGTGTTACAAAAGTAAAAATCTCTCAAATTTTTTTCCAAGATTGTATTTTTGTTGGATAAGAGTGTTATTCGAGTTTAACCCCTGTCGTCCAAGTCGAATAGGATCCTAACCAGGTTCACAAACATATGAGTACGACGTGCGACGACAGCATAATAGCTAAAGGGCCTAATGGTCGGTTCGAAATCCATGTAGCGTATGGATTAACGTGAACTTATTAATAAATCCCTTTTCTTTTCTCAAGGAAATCCCAAGTGGGGGTTACTAATACCTCCTACCTACCACAATCATTTAGTTTAGCTAGAGTGCCTAACAAAACTATTAGTAATATAGGAACCACGTGGAAAAAGGAAATGACAGTTCGTAGTAACGAATTAGGTGAAGAAACGATACACTTACGGGTCCAAACACATCGAAGACTTTTCCAAGCGCTTTGGATCCGTTCTCCAGGAACAGGACGCTGTCTAAATCTACTGCTGGGGTTTCTGGTAAAGCACGTACTATTACTGAAATATTAAAAACAAAACATTGTCTTTCATTTGGCATTTACAGAGAGTCGGCGAACAGTTTCCTAACTCGAACAATGTGACGTAAATAGTGTTTTGCCTGCAATCAGTTTAAATAAGGTTTTTGTACAAATAATGTAGCAGACAAGCCTACAACCTGCCTGGTGGTAAGGAGGCATTGGAGCTGCCTATAAAAATCACCACATTAATAATCTTATCGGGGGGACAGATAAAGAGTGCTGTTTTTGTTTGCTGCTGAATAAAAAAGACAGTTCATCAGTATTTGGTTGCATAACAAATTCCCCATAATATACTTCAAATGCTTTAAATAAATTCACAATAACTGTCAGCTGCTAACGGTTGATACCTAAAAAAACTCTTGGCATGCAGTGCAGTCCAAAAAAAGGCCGCCGCGCCTTATCTGCTTCCACTTTCTCTCGTGCGAGCATCGAAATCACAAAACTAAAATGCTGTCATTCGTTGAGCCCAAGTTTAGTGTGAAACAAACAAAATAGACATTTTTAGTATTCTAAAACTGTTTGTCTTAATAGGGAGTTCCCTCAATACAAACAACAAGTTCGTATATCTAGCATATTTGTGAGCTGTCGACACGGTTCTAAGAGCAGTTACGGGTCACGTCGCTTCCACATAATTTATTGAATTATTTATTTACGGATATTTGTCAAGAATAACTTAAGTACTCAGTAATTTACTTTTTGTATTGGTACTTAAACCATTATCCTCCGTCATCCTATCCGTCGTCCTTATCCCAATTCAGCTACTTCCTTTGTTCTAAAAACGATTATATTGCCAAAGAGGATTGCCGTCTGGCAGGCGGCTGGCTATAAAAGAAACCAGCCTAAATCCTTACAATATTACACATTGCGACGACTCTTAAATAAAATATGGTAACGGAAAGTAATGATGATGATGAGGAAGTGAATCACTACAAGGCAGAAACCATTTTAAGTTCACAAGGTTAAGCGTGTTTACTTCTACTGTTTTCATTTTCTAAACCACTGCATCAGTTCTGTTAGAAAAAGGTAATCGAAAACATAAACACGAAGACAGAAAACTACTAATATAAACAAAACGGTAAACATAAAAGGTCGCATTAGTATCGATTGCAAAAAAATACGGAAATCAATGGAGGTCATGGAAAAGCTCGCAACATTCAAGGTTAAATACAGCGACTTGTACGGCGATGCCTTGGGCTATATATCTCTGTAACATGCCTGTATCGGTATTCATTTAATCTTGGAAACGAGATTTAACAAAACGACATACGTCAGTTTCTTCCTAGACAGTGAGTTTAAAGTTAAAATGTGCTGTGTTTACTGTAACGTGCCTTTTTGATATTATACAACATTCGCTTAAATTTTTGATACGAGTATTATGCTTATGCTTTAAATGAAGTATAATCGTGTTTTCCGCTGTAACGTAATTAAAAGCGACTTTTATTTTATTTTATTTTTTATTTTACATCTTGATGCACTTATGTACATCGGCGGACTTAATGCCCTGGGCATTCTCTACCAGCCAACCTTTAGGTGGTGTAGAAATCTTGTAGGGTAGTTGCACCGAGGTTATAATTGTAATCACTGATTATAAGTATATATTTTTTTTAAAAACTAAGCAAAATTTACAAGTATTATACAATTGCACATATAAATTATAATATAATACGAATATATATATATATATATATATATATATATATATAGAAATAAATATACATATGAATACATATTCTTTATGTTCGTACACTGTCAATACTTGAATTTAAGTAGGTGTACTATTGGTTAAGGTACTGCCGCCATCTCGTCGAGAAGGTAATTATGTACATTATTTTTAAATGCGAAACGGTTTGTGGACATCCTGATTTCGAGTGGGAGCGTATTCCAGAGCAGTACTACTTGCATAAAGAACGAGGAGTTCACGAAGTCGGAGTTGTGGTGGGGACACAAGAGAAGCTAATATTTCTTTGATCTAAGATTTCTGTCGTGATTACTTGCAGAAAGAAACGGATGTAGGGATCGAGGTAGGTGGGTGAAAATGGGGAGTTTAGTAATGAAAAGAGAGAGGTCAGCGCTCGCTGGTTGCGGCGCAGGCGAATAGGTAACCATTTTAATTGGGAGCGTAAAGCAGACACATGGTCATACTTGCGAAAATTGCATATGTATCGAATGCAGTTATTGAGAAGACGGTTTAGCTTATTGAGGATATAGCATTCAGGTCGAAGTAACACACATAGTCAATTATAGGAATAATAAGGGACTGCATTAGAGAGGTTTTTGTTTTAGTGGGCAGGTAAATTCTTAAGAAGGTATAGCTTTCGCAGGTTACCCGTTACTTTCTGGCTCACATGAGTAACTTGAGAACGCCAATCTAGGGTTGAGTCGATGAGTAGGCCTAGGTCTTTGACTACCGGGCTCCAAGGTATAACTGAGCCGTTGAAGATGACCGGTGGGACTGATGCAGTAACCAATCTGCTAATCATATGTTTGCTGCCCACTACGATCGCCTGGCATTTGGTCGGGTTTACTGATAATCCGAATCTCATCGACCAGGATTTTATAAAATGACGGTCTCTGTTGATATTGTCGATGGATCGTATAATTATTCCAGATCCATGCGCTGGAAACTACTAATTTGTATAATTTTCGGAGGTGGTTTAGGTTTCAGGATATAAGATGGAAGATCAGGTCGTGATAGGAAAAACCGGGGGCAGGAAGTTGACCGTGGGAGGAGACAAAGTTTTATTAGGAAGATCAAACGCCCCTTTCTATATTTTTCATTACACGTAAAATTGAAATTCAAATTTGTTTAGAATTTTTTATTCATGTAGCATTTGAGAGCGAGAATCTTTATCACTCATCCGTTCGCTCGCAAATTAGGACAATACTATGTTTGCTTAGTAACTGTTTAGTGGGCTTTCGTAAAATCGTGTTTATATTTTCAACGGAAGTATGGTAAGTATACACGATAAACTCTTTATGTTTAGTTGCATGCTCTGTTATTTAATGATGAGGTAAGAAAACGGTGTGGGTCAAAAGATGATAGAAGATGTAGTGATAAGAATCGAGAAAGGGATGCTGGGATGGTTGGGGCATGTTGAAACGATGAACGACGACCTGAGAGATTTTATAAAGTCCTCGTAAGTGGGCGAGTCGGAACGGGCAGGTCACAATTTTTTTTTTTACTTTTGACCAGATCGGCAGTGTATCGAAGAAATATCTCGTAAAAAGTTTCTCTTATATGTAGGTATTTGTATTGTAAATCTAGAATGCTTACCTAATCTATCAACTAGGCTGACTATGTTTCCAATCTTAACAGTCTCTTGGGCGGGCAGGCTAATGGCAAGATCTTCTATAGGTGGCAAGTCGTCTAGGCCCAGCTCGCCATTAACTTTTGGAACCTCTGGTTTTGCAGTCCGGCTGCCAGCTTCCAGCTCATCACTGTAAGAAAATATATATCGCTTTAAAGGAATTTATTTAGAAAAAAAATCAATTGAAGCATGTATGTCAGAGAATATCAGTTGAGAAGAGATCGCTTTTTTGTTTTGTGTTCGTACATTAAAAAGTTAGAATCCGTTTTTTTTTGAAAAATGATTAATTTTTATGTAACAGAATACCATAAAAACGTTGAACGTAATGTAAAACTTCCAACATCCACGAGGGCTTATTTGAAGAATCTGGTTTGAGATACAAAGTGGTTCAGGAAAGGGACCTAGGGGGATTGGATATAGAAGGCCATTGAGAGATGTCTATGGCTTTAGTTGCAGATAAAAATATTGCATCGGTTTATACGATGTATGGTGTAGTTTCTACTGAATAGGGTGGCGATGAATATGTATACATGTATATACTGTTAGTTTTAAACACATACATGGGACGAACATAAAAGACACTCAGAATAATAGTTTGTGGATCATACAAAGTTTTGTGGAGCCTTCAACACTCAGCGCAGTTACGCCATCCATGCACTCATCAATTAACTAAAACGAAAGACTTAAAATATGCCTCCTTGCTCTGAGTTAGGCAGTTGAAACTTTGTTGTTATATTAGTAAGATATATGATGTGGAGACAGTGAGTAATATTTACCAAACAAACATATGACATCAATGGGAATTTTCAAGATGACAGCAAATTAAACATTATTTCAACAGATCACTGGTTAAGGAAGAATAAGCAAAACTTATACATGACTTGTGTGGAAAACATTTGAAAACGTGCAATTAAAACTAGACAAGTAACCAAGTGGGCGATATTACATAATATCTAAGAAGAGTTCTGTGTTTGTAAAGAATGGTCAAAGTTATAAAAATATAAACTGCTGGTAATTTAGTAAGTCAGTAATTAGAGGTAGTGGCACTTTATTACCAGTTTTGACTAGTTAACGGCTTTTGGGAGAAATTTATCGCAATTTTGCCAATGTCTAGTATATTGAAAATTACTGATAGGTATAGTCAGAGACACTTCTTATCAGTTTCGACTAGTTAATGGCTTCTGCGAGGAAATCATTGCAAATTTGCCGATGCCTAGTAGAAACAGAAACACAGTCTTATCAGTTTATAATAGATTTGGATTCTGAGACGAAATTAACGCACCTTTGCCAATGCCTGGTAGAGACAGATACGCTATTAGTTTCGACTAGTGTCTTCTGTGAGAAAGTTATGAGAATTATGCCAATGTCTATTAGAGACGGACACTCTTTTAGCAGTTTTGACTAGTTAGTGGCTTCTGCGAAAAAAATATCGCTATTTCGCCAATTTCAAGCAAGTGATACTTTCATTATTCACTAGTGGATTCTGAGAGAAAATATTGTAATTTCGCCTAGGTCTAGTAGAAGCGGTGACATATTCTTATTGAGATGAGATGTGCTATAATGAGCAACCAATAGAATTTCGTCATTTACACGTCTCGTCTCCGCTCAACTTCAATCGAAATGAATGAGCAGAACGGAGAAGATTTGTGCGGTTTTCAATATAAAATACGTCACCGACGCGTCTCCTCTCACCGCCGCTTTGCAGGTTACCACACTTCGTCTCAACGCATCTCCGCTCTTGGAAATAACCTGCCGACTGACTGCTCGTCTCCGCACATTTCATCTTGTCTCCGCTTTGGTGGTAAACGGGCCTATTTTATTTTGTAATTCTTCATTGACAGTTCATTTGTAAAGTTTAAACTGTAGGTTCAATATTGATGTTTCACAATTAAGTGAGACTTTAAGAAAGATAGTCGAGACGTTTTAAGGCTATCTTAGAGCCTAGCGCTTTGTAGAATTGTGTAAAAGTTCTAAGACTAAATATCTCTGCAACAATATTTTATTACACAACAAGTGGTATACAAATGGAAGTTAGTATAATATAGGTACATATAATATTGTGTGCGATAGATAATGTAAATCTATTGTCGAGGTCAAGAAATTTTCATTAACAGAATAATCGATACGTTTTCGAACCTTTCATATAAAAAAGTAATTGAGAAATTGAGAAGCCACAGGGAGCCAATATCACCTAATCAAATTAATTGTTGAGAAAGTTCAATATTATAACACAAATCAATTAGATAAATAAACATTTTAAGTCAAAATATAAATTAGATTACCGATTGATATTTACGATTTCATTTTGTAATCAATTAAAATCAATAATCACAAAGTAAAAAAAGAATTAATTTTGGACCAATGGCTGTTGGAGCTAATGGGTCCCCTAGGACTCATGGCTGTAATGGTTGTGGCGACCCCAGCCAGGTGGACTGACGTTTTCAAGAGTGTATTGACTGGATTGGATACGAAAAGCGGGTAGACTAAGTGTTATAACGCATATTGGAAGAGTATTGTGTAGTATTGTGTTGACGAATTAATTTGTAGTGATATTTATAATGACGTTAAGTCTATAGTAATAAGTAATCAGTCTAAACAATCTGGTTAAAGTCGAGGCAGACAGCTGGACGGATGATGATGCAGCGTGATAGGGTGAAATTATGAATGATGATGATGATGCATTGGTAAGTCTTAGCATACCATCAACGATCAACGTAAATGATGCTGACTGAAGTCTCATCAAGACTTACTTTTAGAGTGATCAGTCTTTGCAGACTAGACATCCAAATGGTTGTAGGAACTTAAAGGGACATCTAGGCCTGAACCGACGACTATTCATCTTCAATGCAACATACAGTCCGGTCTGCAGAGGATGTCTCAAAGCAGAACAAACGGCCACACAATGGGCTAGTATCATCCCAGATACAAAATTGCTCTTAGAAGCCTGTGAGTGCCCCAGAAGAAGCCACATCTGGAGGAGCTGGGTTGGCTCACCTGTCAACCTTACCTCAATGCATAAAGGACTGTTCTTGAGTCCAAATGCGGCAAACCACCAATACCAAAAAGAATACCATCAACAATCATAATTGAGTTTTGATTTACACATCTAATATGAACAATCACGAATGTTTAAAACCAAATATTTTATTTCAATCAATTCTGATTTCAAATATATATTAGATAAGCCTTTTTACTTTTTAGTTTGATAACAGTTTTTTATATTGACTATTTAATGTCTGTTGGTCCTCATCATCATCATCATCAACAGCCTATACTAGTCCACTGCTGGACATAGGCCTCTCCTTAGAAAGGAGGTTTGGCCTACTATACCACGCTGGCCAGACGGGTTGGTCCTATCCATCTATAAACTGTCTAACATCCAGCTATGAAATACCATAGAGTAGGAATAAAATGGAAGTCTAGTAGCTTAATATTCACCAGAATTTGAAAAACAAAAATAATTTTGGCCATGTGTGCCTTAAATTATTATCATATGGAGTAAAGTTGATAATATTATACAAAAAAGTGCAGTTGATGTCCTCCGGTCACAGAGCAATATCTGACATAATTAATTATACAAATACCACCAATTAAAATAAGATTAGTGTCAAGATAAGCTCAAAATCTATAAACAAAATGTTTAAGACACATAGATAGAAAACAACCTGCATTTTTGACCTTTCGCTTCGGGGAATTATATATTTACTATATATTTTAAATATGTGATTTGTTTGTTTTGTTAGATTTGTTTCAACTACTAATAATAAAGCTGAGGACTTCTTTTGTTTGATTATGTGTTAATTCAAACACATTAATATGAGTAAAAACTATCCAGTCTACCTGGAACTATCAATCAGATTTGGATTGTTCTTTTTGAATTTGAAAGAGTATTTATTGAGGGGCATCAGCTATGAGACATAATACCATAACCCTGAGGAGCAAAGGAATGACCATAAACAGTCAATCCTCTCTGCTGTGAAAGGATTGGCTAGTAAGTAAAAATTATTTATTGCTTGGTTTGGCAATGCGATGGCTGATACTGTAACACTTTCTTACATAGTTTCTATCTTTCTACCTTTTGTTCAATAAAACAAGATCCTAATTTCTTAAATGTAAATAAATAAGATCTCAAGGATCAGGCTTAAAGAGAGTGATATCACAGAATCACAGAAAACTGTTATTTATTTTGATACCAATTTTTGTTTGACCTCTTTTAACTTACTCGTTCAAGGAGGTCAAACTTCTAATTCCATGAGGGGCATAATTGTGACTTGGTGACTTTACGACGCAGGTGAACTATCTGCTTGTTAGCTCCCAATACTATAAAAGAATCAAACATGTTCCTAAAGAATCTGATCAATCTAGTCTCTAAAATTATTTTATGATTATTGTTAAATCCATTTTATTAATTGTTTTGCTTGTTTATTTAATTTGTTATTAATTGTATGGTGAAGTATCTACTAGTATATTATCATATTTAAATTGTTGTTTCTCAAATACTTTTGTTCATGCCTTTTTGTTTTCATTTTATGGGCTATCTTTCACATAAACTGTTTTAACACTATTTGTGTAAAAATGTGATATATTAAAAATAAAAAAAATATTGTGTAGCTCCACGTTATATGCATGTGAAGCTATTGACTTTACACTATGACTTTTTCATAATAGCAATCTTGCGAGAAAATTACGAAATTATCATGCAACATTCTTAAAATTGTACAAAAATTGTTTTTGTCTCAAAATTAGGACAAATATTTATTAAATTAAGTCCTTAAAAATAAATGGGGTCTCCTAAGATTCTTAGAAATGTAAATATTCCTCACCCACTGGAGACCTCTTCGATATCCTTGACAGAGTCGACCTCGCTGTCACTGGAGTCGCTAGAAGAGCTGGTATCAGTGTCAGAGTCTATATCACGATACTCCGTGACCTCGTACTCCACAACCCCGCTTTCCGCACTGTCTATGATCATATGTCTGGTCACATCCGCATCGTCACGGACGCTCGGTCGTGACAACGGCCCGTGAGCACAAGCATTTATAATGTTATTTTTCAACACCATTTCACTAAGTTCCGCCGCATCAGAATCATCGTTCCCTGTATTATTGTTTGAACGAGTTTCTGTATCGTCTGAATCGGAATCGGAACCACCGTACTCCGCGATCAAACTCAAAGACACGTTTTTGTTATTGCTAAGATCAAGGTTCTCCATTGTTGTGAATGTACACTCATGCAGTCTCTAATTTCTAAAGCATCTACCGCTGGTTATGTATTACAGAAGTGTAACTCGATTATTATAAGGCTAGCGAAACACGTGAACTTAAATTGGGATTATTTAGAGACAAGAAAACAAAAGTCGCGAAACGATTACCTACCGCAGCAAAAATGACAAATGACAATTTGTGTCCACAGATAAAAAAAATGCAGATTGAAATGGAAAAGTTAGGATATTAGTCTTTTCAGTTCCTCTAACTTTAGCAACTCGTGTCATAAACTCATGAGTTTTTAGCACTTGTTAGGTTTTCTTGAAACCAAGATATAGTAGAAAAACTTATAACATGATCAAAAAAGAATTAATTCAATATTTCTGTATTGAACGTAAGGATCTCATAAGAAGTTATGCTGGTAAAAATACCTAAACCCTACTTTCTGTATAATATTATTGATTGTAGGTTTGACCAAAGGCGTAGGTAGCATGTCCCTAATTCAGTTTACATGCACTGGTGCTGGTAGACCAGCTAATCCTTGAGGATAAAACGAATTACCAACTAAATCCAAACAGTAGAAAGTATCCAACATCGTATTTCCAAAGATACATTTTCTCTAAGTATTTCATCAATCATTATCATCAACAGCCTTTAATAGTCCACTGCTGGACATAAGCCTCTCTTTAGAAAGGAGGTTTTGGCCTACTATACCACGCTGGCCAGACGGGTTGGTATAGGGTTTGTGTCAAGTTTTCCTAGTTTTCTAGTTACAGTTACAGGCAGTTGTACCCCGTGTTCTCTGTATAGTTTTGGCAATGCATAATTTATAGAAGAGCATAGACTTGCATGAAATCATGTAGTTAGGTATTAACGACCAATGTTCGTCGAGTCATCCGAGTAGATAGTAAAAATTGTTTTGATCGATCAGTTTCCAACATACATTAAACCTCTACTTAACGATATCTGACACATTAATTAATATAGGTACAAAAATAAAACATGTTTTTTATCTTGTGCTTTTTATTTTATGATCACTACAAGTCATTACCGCTTGTACTAGTTTTGGCCGTCTTGTTTCTCTTCTTTCTAGGTGGATGCGGCAGTTTGTAGTGCACGGTGCGAATATGCAAGTTCACGCTTGACGAGTATTTAAATTTCTTGCTACACATTGTGCATTCATACGGTGTTACATCAGAGTGTACCTGAGAAAGTAAAATATAAATGGCTAGTTAACATGTTTCGTTAAATTGAAAATATTAGGGATTTTTATACCTATAATGTAAAGTTTTAAAAAACTTTGAAAACTGAATATTACTCTTTTAGTCATAAGTTAAACTCACCCTCGAATGCCGCTCTAAATTGCTACGTAATTTGAATGCTCTTCCGCAAGTGCGACATTGATGTGGTTTATTTGTTTTATGTGTGATCGCGTGACGAGCTAAAGCATATTTATCATAAAATAGTCGAGGACATATGTCACACCGAACTGTAGGCGCACGATGCCGTAGTTGATGCAGATGGAGTTTAGTGGAATTCTGAAAACAGGTGATTAGTTTAAATATTACTAAAATAATATATGCATGACTAGATAATACGTTCGTATTTAAAGAATTATAATTGATCGGTCGGTCGGTTGAGGACGTTAAAAATAAAAAAAACGGTGATTTCAGTTACAATAAATGAAATATAAAAATGTTTAGCTAATTATTTGTTTATATTTTTAAGTCCTGTGTACTAATCGATCACCATTAAATTGTGATCACATCTTATCAGGAGTATTGAAAATAATTGTAAAAAAAAATGAAAGCATTTTAAACTTTACTACTTCAAATAAGTATTGATATGTTATGTTAAAAAGAGATATTAAGATATGTTAAAAAATGTTAAAACGGAACGGACGAAAAGCATAGTATGTGTTATAGTAAATGGAAACTGTGTGTTGGTTGATAAGGTTATATGCATAGTGCAATCTACAAAAGTCATGTGGCAGTGATGTAAGAAATCAGCTGTCAATCGATAATGAAAAGGTAAGGCACATTGAATAACTCTAAAAGAATTTCGAGATAACATACTGCAATCTGGCTTCAAAATTAAAATTAATCCCAAATTAAATTAATTTCCTCATCCCCAGATGGCGCTAAAAACGCGTGAGGTCACTCTTATTCCTCATGCATACAAATCATAAGCGATCCACATCACTAGTCTACCGTGACGTACCTGGAACCCTTTCCCACAAGTATCACATATAGCGGTGACGACAGGACGGTAGGTATCAGTCTCCTTCGGGTGCTGTCTGCGCACGTGCTGCCAATGATTTCGTCGGCAAGTTACTGTTTCACCACACTGGATAAAAACATTTACATAAATAGTATACAGCTATCACATTAATAAATATGCCAAGATCCTACCTAGCTAGGAACATAACGAGAATATTGACTCTCGGAACCGGGTCTAAGTTAGATAAGAATACAGAAAAACCTTCTTATTAATTAATTCAATATACAATTAATCTTTAACTTTTTCAATAAAAAATATATATTTAATTTTAAATTAAGTGTTCGCTAGAGTGCCCAACGATTTTTAACTGACTACAAAAAGGAGAAAGTATTATTATATGACACTACAACTCTACTAAAAACAATAATAATTAAAATGTCTATCAATTAACTCACAAGTTCACACTGTGTAGGATAGCTGTCATGTGCCCGCCATTTTTTCCTGTTGACACGCGGGTGTTCGGCCCTAGCGTGTGACACTAATTCACTAAATGACGAACATTTAATACCGCACTTGCTGCATGTATTGCGGAGCTCTGATGTCAGGCTTGAAGAATCACTAAAATGAGGATAGTTACTACATAACAATAGAATATTGACACAAGTTTTTGAGGTGAAAACTTCTTTAGCGGCGTTGTACACTTTTTTGTAATGGGTAAAAAATGTTAAACTCGCGTCAGGACACGTGACCTGAACGAAAATTCGTAAGACGGATGGAGAGTAGACAGCCGGCGCGTCGTAGGAGAGGAAGTATCCCCCTCTCTTTCTACGGCGCGGCGAAAATGTATGCCTGCGCCTACTGTTTCATTTAGGCGGCGCAGGGCGCTTGCGCGAATGTTCGTTTTTCTGAGAGATAATCTTTTTAATGTAATATAAATTGTCATTTTTGTGTACGATAGCGCAATAAATAAATATTGTATTATACCACATAAATGATAGTACTTTTATACTGATAATTAAAGCAATTTAAGCAATTTGATAATAAGCAGCGTGCAAAATTATTCCCTAACCATTCCAAAATAACAAAAATGCACAACGTTAATATTCAAGTTTTCACTTCTGCCGGCACTCCCGGCGAGCAACCTGTCGTTTGTTTAAATGTTTCACCCTTTTCTCGCTTTTGTGGGACGGAAATGTGTAACATAAAGACGGATAATGAGCGTGCAGATTGAAGTGAAGTGAGACGAAAGATATACACATCAAAGTATAAAACTAAGATGATTTTGCTAATTTATTTACCAAAGATCAGATTTTTTCCTGTGTTGGCTTGAAGTCAGTAAATGTATCCGCCGGGCTCCTTCCGACACGAAGTTAATGTCACATGCTTCGCATCGATACGCTTCCGTGACAATTGTATCCTACAAATAATAAATCGGCTATTAATAACTTACAAAAAAACTAGTACCTAGATTTAACCGGCCTAACAGTAAGGACCTAGTAAAGCCTATGTCAGTGTTTCGCCTAATAGAAGAAATATCATTCTACCATGGACAGGTATAAAGAGTTTTTAAAGTGGATCTGGCAAGAACTATAAGTAAGTAAGTCTTAAATTAATTATAGGATTGGTGGATCGTTAGTTTTAAACTACAACCTTTTAATATTTTATATTTAAAATTCTCGTGTCATAATGTTCGTTCCCGTACTCCTCCGAAACGGCTTGACCGATTCTCATGAAATTTTGTGTGCACATCGGGTAGGTCTGAGAATCGGCCAACATCTATTTTTCATACCCCTAAATGGTAAGGGTGACCCATCCCTAATTTTTTTTTGTTTTGCAATACAACGTTTGCCGGGTCAGCTAGTTACTATTTAAAAAGCATTTTATAAAGCACTAAAAATACAGTTATTTCCCTTTTCGATCATGTAAAATACCTGAGACATGCTGTCCAAGCCACTAACTATCTAGAGGATTTAAGATAATTAAGGTATAAAGTTTGTGGAATATTGTCGATTAGTGCACCTCGACATCTCGGTGCGCCGTGGCCATGTGCAGGCGCAGGCCGCGGCGGCTGAGGCAGGCGCGCGCGCAGGCCGCGCACGTGTGCGCCCGCGCGTGACAGCGCCGCGCGTGCGCGCCCAGCGCCGACTCGTGCAGCGAGCTGAACGAGCACCACCCGCACCTGTACCTGTAGCCCGAGTGCCAACGCTGGTGCTTCTTGGCTACTCCCCTGGAATAAAATACTAAAACTAGTAACGGATTTTTTTTTAAATTTCTTTAGCGCAATAATATCAGCTTTGTTTTTTTTATGGAAATAGGGGGCAACGAGCAGACGTCGTCACCTGATAGTAAGCGACTACCGCCGCCTATGGAACCCCGCGCTCAAGAGTCACAGTGTGTTGCCATCCTTCAAGTCCCCCGCCCCCAAACAGAATCAGAGAAAGGGGGGGGAACCAGGCCACTGTATATCTAGGTCATTCAGGTAAGGATACTTACACATTATTGAATACCTTCGGGCATGTCTTGCAGTAGAACTTCTTGGCGTGAGCTCGGTTAGCGTGCGATTTCGCGAGAACGTCGTTTTTGAAGCGCAGTTTACAGACTTGACATTCGACCTTACCTCGGGCCTTATGAACGAAACAAATGATACTATAAGTAAATTAATCGACTACTTTTAAGTTTTGCGAACATACATTTAAACATTCTGGAAACATTATTCGAGAAATACACTTCATAAAAATCGTTTAACGGGTGTGGTCTCTATGAAACCTATTAAAAAACATAAATCAGCAAAGCCCTACATTTAAAAAAGCTTTTTGTTACTAACATACTCACTGCATCGTGACTGGCGAGGTGGATGCGGTAACTATTAATATGAGCGAATATCTTGGAGCACACTTCACATTCATACACAGTTTCACTCGACAGAGGTCTTCTTGCTGCTCTTCTTTTCCATTCTTCTTTCTGTTCCTGCAACTGTTACACAGACACGATCTAAACACTACCATTGAATCATTTATCATGAGAATAAAAGAAGAGAAATGTTGAATGACTAATCAGCTTAGAAGAATCATCTTTTTGTACTAAAGTTTGGAAACTGCAGTGCTATTGTTTAAGGAAACAGCGCTGCTACAGCGTCATATTTCAAAATAACTTAGTTTGAAATTCGACACTTCTTTTTAACCCTCGGGCCGTCACCCCACCAGTGGTGTGTCGAAATCCGACGGACTAAAACAGCACGGTGTGCCACTCTGTGCCTCAAATAGGGGGGTTCCGGGAACTGCTGTTATTATGACATAAGGACCCCTCCTCCCCCACCCTCCTCCTAGCGCCTGCCCGCTACGGCGCGGGCACAACCTTTGGGTACACTCTCTCATTCTCTATTTAGGCGACGTGCGTCCGACGTCCGCATGTGCTGGACGCCGCGACACTCAGGGCGGTATGAGGCGCTGGTAAGCGCGCCTCTGACGGGCGGTTCGTCGGCGGGGAATTGGGTCCGAGTTTAGATCATTCTCCCGGGCCCTCTCCACCGCCTCCTTCTTCGAGATGACGTCTTCGCAGAAGGATGCGACTACAGTAAAGCAACTATCACTACCGCCCATGAAGCGTATGAAGGCCGGTAGCTAGAGATCTCCTCCGATGTCTGCAGTGAGGACCCGACGCTGCGACGCCCAAGCCGGGCAAATTGCCAGCGTGTGTGTGCGCTGAGCCGAGTCTTCACTGCAATTGCAGTAGTGACAGGCAGGACTCAATTCACTCCTAGCAACCCAGTGCAGGTACTTAGCGAAACAGCCGTGGCCATTCGACCCTATGGCAGCGCTATAACGTCGAATTTCAAACAAACTTAGTTTGATGTTCGACGCTGTGGCAGCGCTGTATGCCAGGCTGTTTCCTTAGAGAATAGCACTGCTGATTGGTTAGAGTGCGGGCATTGACTGATGCGTCACTATTTTATTAACGTGAATGGACCATAAATTGCAAAAAACAAGGTAATCTACTGTAAGTATATTAATAAAGAACTTCGAAAAATATTATCAAAATCAAAATCACGTGTAGGTACTTGCGTTGAAAATTACCTTTGCTATGGTGACCGTGTGTGAGTTAATGTAAAGCGCGTTAAACAGGGCCTATATTCTTATGTTAAATAGAATATTATTACAAGTGGTTTTGGTAAGCCAAGTAATTACTACGAACTAATTACCGTCAGTTTCACCACATCGAAGTATGTCTGCATATCTGTTTCGTCTGGCGTTAGACCACCGGCTTTCTTTCTTTTAACTTTTTTTCTAACTGGTCCGTCTTTAGGTTTAGATCTCTGAAAATCAAATCACAATACTGTACGAAATATAATCAGCCTCTGGTTCCTAGATAAAACAATAAAAGGCATATAAACAGGTTGGGAGACCTTAGCTCAAACCATAGTGTTGCTAACTTTATAGTTTTACTACTAGATTGTAGGGAAATTAAGTGTTTAGCGCAAAAACTGGACAATTGCGAGTCGGACACGCCCACCCAGGGTTCCGTACAAATTTGTATGTACATATTATCCTAAATCGAAAACTATACAAAATAATTAAAAATCTGTTTAAGCTTGTGCCAATTAACCCTTTTATACGATACCCTACATGACACGGTTAACTCAATTCAAAATTTAGACCGCCGTTCCTTGCATAAAGACCAATTCTTTTATGATTTAATTACAAATTCACAACTTCAGATTTTTTTTCCAATATACGTTTTGTGCGGCATAAACGACCGTACCTTTTTTTACGATAACTTAGAAGTTTGATTTTTTCACAGCTTCAACAGCCTGTAGACTTGAGTATATCGTTTTAATTTCAACTCGATAGCTCTGCGTACCCGAGATAAAGGGTCTTGACAGACAGACAGACAGACGGACGGACGGACAACAAAGAGAACCTCTGAGGGTTCCGTGTTTTCCTTTTGAGGTACGGAACCCTAAAAATTGTAAAAAAGATGTTTAAGATCAATTTTTAAATAAAAAAAATTTTCTTAAAATTAAATTATGCTCTTATGGGGATTTTAAAGCACCACTGGACTGGCAGACATTCTCAAATTTGTAAAAAGTAATTTTGAATTAAAAACTACAAACACTCACCTCCTTTTTGAGGATTTTATACTTTGCATTCTCTTTAATTTCAACATTTTCACTATCAGATAAAGAATTTGCGATTGGACTCTCTAAACATGAACCTAAATGGCTGTCATTTAAATTATTAATTTCTTCATTTAGTGTATTTTCTTTTATCTCCATTTTACAAGCCCTTGTTTCCTTCTCTGTATAAGCTTTAAAGTCAGATTGCAGATTATTATCACTATTTTCATCTTTCAAATAAGTATCAACATAATCCAGAGATGTTTTCTGTAAACTTTTTACTTCATCATCATGGTTATAATAATAATAATCTTTGACTGTATAAACATTTAGTGGAGAATTTAAATTCAATTTATTTCTATTTTGCTGTTTTATTAGACTTTGAGATATCTGAAAAGGTTTCAAAATATGTAATAGACAAATGGATATTTATAAAGTAATAAGTTAAGTAAGTTCAAATAATGAAATTCAATAATAATGTGATTAATGATGGTGAAATATATTTTTTGAATGGTACATTTCATAATAATGATAATATTATTATGTTGACTTCAATTAATATGATCATGTGTGCTACTTCAAATGAGGCAAATCAAAATATATAATATGTAATGGCTATTAAGCATGTGATTGTTATCGTTATGTTATATAAAAATAAAATGTAATCAAAATGTATATACCTATTTATATAATTAAATAAAGAGAATCATAATAATAATATTGTACCACAATCACACATCGCCATCTAGTCCCAAACTATGCAGAGGTTGTACTATGGGTACTAGACAACTGATAATAATACATATATTTTTATAAAAAATAAATAATGTAAATTTAATCGAAGTGAACATGTGATTGTGCTTACAATTTAGGTATAATTTCTGTGTCTGTCTTACTTTCATTTTTTATTAATGTCATTAAGAGTTAATGTAACTATTTTTGATAGCACAATAAACAAATGTTTTGTAACATAACTTACCTGACCATTCTTTGCAAAAATATCTAATAGTGTTGCTTGAGCTACCATACTTTTCTCTACAAGTTTGTTATAGTTTATCAAACAGGCAGCACATTGGTAGCAAACATACTGTGGTAGACCTTCTATGTTGTAATTTTCCTGTTAAAAAGATTATACCAGTTGTAACAAGTATAAACATTAAATGTAATGGTTTAAAAAAAGAATTCATAGAATTAAGACTGTTAAGTGGCAGATAGTCTGTCTGTTAAAACCTGTAACAGCACTGAAGCAACTGCCCGTTGCCAACTACATTGTTGTGTCTGGGTGTAAATATCTATAATATGTATGTATTTAGAAATATATAAGTATGTTTATGAGCAGTCTGGTTACCATAGCACAGGCTCTGTCTAGTATGGGATCAGATGGCTGTGTGTGAGATGTGTAAAATTATTTTTATTATTATTTTTATAGACAATTCCCGCACTTGGAATAAATCCTGTGTCACAGGGGACTTTACAAACATACACCAACACAAAGAACACCCAGACTTAGAACAACAATTTGTGGATCACAATAAGTGTCGTCCCATGTTCGGATCGAACCCACAACACTCAGCACAGTAGGAAGCGCCGAGGTGACTGCTTAAACCACTACACCATCCGTGCAGTCAATCATTATTATTATATTATATCCTTTGAGTTCTAGTTAACCCAACTAACTAATAGTAATATGTAATATCAGTATGTAAAGAAAACAAGTTAAAAGGATAATGGTTTGGAACTATGAATGGAGGCAGAAGATAATCCGTTTATTGCATTTGCTAGGAAAAATATTCTTCTATTACCACAAATTTGATTTCAGATAAATTCATAAAAACATTTAAGATTAAGAATACGGAATGTCACTACCCCGATTCATCCCGTGGGTGTCGTAAGAGCCGACTAAGGGCGCAAAACAACGCAGGTCACCAGCACTGCAAAAAGAAGGAAAACTTGACACAAACCCTATACCAACCCGTCTGGCCAGCGTGGTGTAGTAGGCCAAAACCTCCTTTCTAAGGAGAGGCCTATGTCCAGCAGTGGACTATTAAAGGCTGATGATGTGATGTGATGTGATAGTTTGAAACATTCATACATTGAATCCAATGACAGTCTCCAGACAGGTGCTCAATTTATTGTCTCCTAAGCTGTATAACTTCAAATCTGTTGCTAGGCAAATTCTGCATGCTTCTACATTTGTTGCTTCAAAATTGGAGTTCACCTGCAACAGGCAACAGTTAGCAATAACATGAATGTTATAAATAAAACTAAGTACAGGGTGAATCTGTAGAAGTATCTTAGTTTGTATAACTTAGAGATATATATAGTATATATATATACTTTAAAATTATATGATATATCGTCATAGTCATAGAATAGTGTCGGATCTGACATTTATTGAATGTTACAAGGCAGCCATTTCAAACAATTATGTTCTTTTTTTGACATAACTTATAACATAACTTAATTAAATAAGTTATGAAAATTGGCATACAAGTGAAAAATAGGGTTTGTATTAAAATGCAATAAAAATAACAACTAATAATTTTAAAATTTTCTAGAAGAGTCACATGCCTTATTTTACTTTGACCGCCTATCAAACAAACACTGAAAAATTCAAAATCAAAAATACATATAATTTTTTCTTGAATGTAGTAATAATATTTAGACAATGTAGTATCCAAATATGGTAAAAACTGAATTTCGTATTTCTTTCATAACCAACATTATTCCACGATATTGACGATATATTTGTATATAATTTATTGCATTGATGTAATCGTAAGATGAATCTAAAATAAATTATCTATTTTTATATTTACTAGGTGACCTCTTGTGAGAGGTCCTCTGGTGAGAGGCTCCAATTAGTCCTAGCATGATGCTATATAGCCTATAACCTTCCTCGATAAAAGGGCTATCCAACACTTCAAGAATTTTTCAATTCAAACCAGTAGTTCCTGAAATTCCCCGAAAATACAAACTCACAAATTTTACCTCTTTATAATTTTAGTATAGATAGGATGGCTATATAGTTAAGTGTTTCCATATTTAGGGAATGTGCGAGGATTTAAATTTTATAGGATCAAAACAATAAGACATTTTCAATTAAAAAAAAAACCCTGATTTATTATCCATTAATATTAAGTGTTAATTTTTTTCATTGTATTTGCTTTACTGAATTTACACTGAATTTTATATTATATTTTTCAAGGATATGATGAGTCTTAATTACATTATGGCAAATATTCTAACTGTGAATAACAAATACTTACAGGTAAACAATTTACAGGTACAGCATCATCTTTAATTCTTATTCGGCATCCTTCATAATTCATCTGATCGTGATTGAAATGGGTGCTACAAATACGGGCATGACTAGGAGGCACCCAATTTGGACGTCCTATGGCTTTTAACCATTTTGTTTTGAGCTCTTGGTTGCATGGAAACCTACAAATAAACAGAAGAGACAAGAGAATAAAGAGAGGAGAATATAGGTTTTTCTAAACTATTTTTTTATTCTATAGTATTTTAGTATGTAACATTACTTACGCATGAAATGAGATTAAGCTATTGGGATCTTTCTTCTTATGATTGCTGTTGTTACTACAACCTTTCACACAACAATATGACACCATTTCAATATGATTTTAATTTAGAAATAAACAGAATTCATTTAATTTATTTTAATAACAATACCCGTTTCACTTTCACGAATCGCAAATTCTTGTTTATTTTTTTTATTTATTTGACATTTAACTGACGTTTAATTAGACCGTGCAACTTTTTTTATTCGTTTAGAAATTAATTTAAAATACATCAAAAAACACAGTCGATTTTAATCGGCATCCATTTTATTTTTGAAAATAAGATTACGTGTAATAATTCTTATGTAAGGTATTGTATTTAAAAATTAGATGATTCAACTAAAGATATAATGGATTTTCTACTACTGCTTGACTATGGAAAGTAAAAAGGTAAGAATCTAAAATTGATTCGGCTCCGGTTTATTTTTTGTACTCAAATTAGAATAACAATTTCAAAAAATGTTAAAACACAGAAATAATAAACATCAGATCTAAATTTAGCGGCATACAAGACACATCACTCCACATGTCTCTTGAAAAGTTTTTTTATTTATTACCAACATGTTTGTTTAAACACGCTAATATTATTTTAACGAAGCAGCGTCAGTTAAGATTGGGCACGGCCATTCACAATAACCACTGTTTATAGTCCACCTAAACATAAAAAACTGAAGCTAAAACACGAAAAGCTTTTTCCACACTAGGACAAGATTCAACTGTAACTACGAAAGGTCGAGAGCTACTAATGGCATCTTAAAATTGAGATATCTTAAATCTTGTTTCACACAAAACATTAAGATTTACTAAAGAGAAATCTTAAGTCTGGTATTTTATTCCTGTCTGCCGGTGCCTGAGAGGAAACTAACTGGGGGCTCTTCAGACTGCTACTAGTGGAAAGCTTGGATTTAAAAAATCTCTCTAAAGACAGCCGATAACATAACAGAAGCAGTTGAACATTTCAATAGCTGTGTTCAACAATTTGCTTGGCTTGATACTCCAGTTGCCCCACAGATACGCAGCATGAAGAAGAACTTTGTTATCAGCCTATCATCGTAATAATATTTTATTTTTTCAGAGTCCAGAGTTTAGTAACAATATTTTTTCTTAACGTATGATAATAAATAACTATTTAAGTAAAACTGATGAACCCCCTCATTAATACAGAATCTTACTTCTCCACAATGACATTGGTAGTGAGACGGTTAAGTCAGACTTAAATCGACTAAAGATCGCAGGACGTGCCGGAGTCTCAGGTACCAGTAGCCGGGGAACCAGGTGTAATCTAGAAAAGAAATCACTAGTAGTTACCCCGAATGATCTAACAGCACAGTAAAGCCATTGTTTTACATGTTAGCCTTGTTTGTTTAACAAATTAATTTTTATGGACAATCACCAAAACACTCATTCTGTTTCTAACCAATCTCCGTATCCAAAAGAGTAATTTAGAATGTGCTTCAAGTGATGCAGACAAAGCTGACACATTCACCGAGCATCTTAAACACGTCTTTATACTAAATCCAGATATGGATGGAATAATTGAGCGACTTCAAAGTTTTAGACCTCTAAAACTTTTGAAGTCACTCAATCATTGGACCAAACCCATCAACTGGGTTCCTTCCATAACAAAAGTCACAAAGAAGTAGAAACAGCCCTTGAGTCGCTGGACCCAAGTAAAACTCCTGGATACTATCTCACAACCGGCAAAACTCTTTTGCCCGATCGTTTAAATATTTCAGTAAATAAAAGTACATACTCTTGTGGTGTAAAGCTCCAAGGTATTTAGTTGCGTGTCTTTTAATTATTAATAATATTTCGGACATAGTTTCAAACTAAGCAGAGCATGTACTATAAAAGCTAGATTGACTGAAAGAATACTTATATAGTTTTTTTGTTGTTGTAAATACATACATGTATAATAATACATACATACATACATAGAAAACACCCAAACTCCCACACATATATTTGCAGATCATGCAAACATTTGGTCCGACTCGGGAGTGGAACTCGAGACCTCTGCACAGCAGACGCATAAACTACAACTGCGCCATCGAGGCAGTCAAAGTCACAATTCCCAAAAAAAAATATCATAGTTTGAAGTATATTATTTATTTTCAGGTCATACACAAAAGTGGGTAGTGGTTAAAAGTATCTTATTTCAATTTCATTCTTCAAAAGGTATGGCGGGAAGCAGTTTGCCTTCGCATTTGCCAAATCCGATTCTGACACCATTATCGTCAACGCAATATCCACGTAGAGTAACTGTGTCGCCATCTTGAATGAATTTTCTTTCTTCACCTGTTAGCAAACGAATAGGTTTGGTTCCTTTCCAAGCGAGTTCTAACATACTTCCATAAGAGTCTGACGCCTGCGAAAAGAGGTAACAATTAACACAGACAGAAAATAACATATTTTAATGCATTTTGATCTATTAACAGTAATTTAGACCTAAAAATTATTATTATTGTGTGAGATAAATGAAATTACTTCTCCACTAATGGTACCGGAACCGAGAACATCTCCAGGTCTAATGTTGCATCCAGTGACGGTCTGCTGAGCGAGCTGCTGCTTAGCCGTCCAGTACATGTAGCGGTAGTTCGACCTACATACTGTTGTGCTGACTGCAGACTTTTCACCTTCAAGAAAAAGTTTCATACATAGAATTTTTTAATTTTTATTTTAAAACGAGCCGACGGGTCCTGACGGGTTTTGAAAAACAAGCAGAAGCAGGTGGGCCAGGTTATGATAATAAGTAATGATGTAGTGATGGTAAGTGACTACCGCCGTCCATTGATACCTGCAACTCAAGAGCCACAAGTGCGTTGCCGCCCTTATAACCCCCTCCACCAGAAAAAGGGTAGGGGGAGGGGAGAAACTGAGAAGCCCTGGTATCACTTCGGTTGAGTAATTGGATATCTATTTTTTCAAAAAATACTTTTCTTCTTCCGAGGCTTTTTATTTATTTATTTAATCTTGGAAGACCAACAGCCTTACAAATTGGTTTAATAATTGAAAAGGTTACATTCAGCCATTGATAACAGTTTACAATAAGTAAGTGCGAGGTTTTAATAATTAAAAGCGATTATAAGTTCAAGAAAGAATCAAGTACAACACTTAATACAATTAGTATTTTGAGAAGAACTCAAGACTAAGTGACCGTCTCACCACATGCTGACTAGTCTGAAATACGTCAAGTTCTAAATGTTTACATTTTTTGTTAATAGTATTGCTCGCTCGCCACAGAAACGTATCCTGGCGATAGTTCGCGGAGACCAATTGTAAATGAATGAGGGTGTGGTGTCTCGAAACTTTAGTGGGAACGTTAAAGGTGATTTTTGAAAGTAGATTGGGACAATCTATACGTCCCGATATTATCCCCAATAGAAACGTAACGTCCGCTATTTCCCGCCGTATGCTGAGAGGGAGGATGTGAAACCTGGCGCATAGCTTCAAATAGTCCTTTGATTCCTATTTATACTTAAACCGAACTTTTCTCAAACTAGGTTGGGTCGTAGTATCTACGATACGGCTGAACTTCGATTGTTTACGCAGAGTGAATGACGTCAGACTAGGCTATATTGAAGTTCTGCACGAAGGGATCTTAATATGAAATTCTTAAAATTACCTCAAAAAATTACTAAACGTAAAAATATTTACAGAGGAATTAACTAAATATTATGAGGACATTGTGCATGTTTGCAAAAAAAAGTAAAGTACTCCTTACTTTTGATATCAACTTCAAGCTTGATATCGAAGTTGAAATTGTCATCATGTCTCAGATAGGAGAACGGTGTTGGGTCCTGTGGGAAGTTTTCTACGATGTACGGTCTCAGTGCTTCGATGGTCACAATCCATGGTGAAATAGTGGTACCCAAGTTCTTAGCCGTGAAAGGTCCTAGAGGAATATATTCCCATTTCTGGATGTCTCTAGCTGCATGAAACATATAAATACACCTTTTTAAATTTATAAATAAAATGTAACTAAGTAGGTAAATAAAAACGAATTTGTTTGCGTGATTGGAATGGAATTTTTTAAATTTAGAACTCACCGCTCCAATCATTCATAAGCGCGAACCCGAAGATACGGTCACCAGCCTCTTTCGCTGTGATTCTTTCACCGAGTTGGGTGGGGGGTCCTCCAACGAACGCTGCCATTTCTAACTCGAAGTCCATCAGTCTGGAAGGCCCGAAGTGGGGGTCAGCATCTGGATTGTGATGTTATTTTAATTAGATTGGACCACTTCGGAAACAAATAAAATGATGCAAAAGAAAACTTATTGCAAACAACAATAAAACAATATTTAATTTAAGCCACAGTCTTGCAAGGTAGGGTTAAAATTAGCTTAACACTTTGTTAAGAATTCAAAGTAAGTTGCTCATGGCTTTTAGAATATTATAAAACTGAAGTTTGTTTGTTTGAACGCGCTAATCTCAAAAACTACCAGTCTTTTTAGTGTTGGATAGCCCATTTATCGAGGCAGGCTATTTAACATCACGCTACAACTAATAGGACCCGAGTATCAATGAAAAATGTTTCAAAAACGGCGAAAAAATATTCCTTTTAAGAAACGGAGACGAAGTTAAATGGGTCAGCTAGTATAATAACTCTGTAATTAAAAAATAAATAAAAAAAATAATACATTATTATTAAAAGAAAATGCAAAAATTGCACATTAAGTATTTGACTAAATTTACCTTCAACAGGCAGTGTCTGTCCGTAGGGTCTGTGTATAGGTGTACCAGAGACAACGATGGAACTGGAGCGACCGTGGTAGCCCACTGGGAGGTGCTTCCTGGTATTAAATTACAATTGTAGGACAGAATATTATTTTTATTACATTAATTAATATAGGCTAAATTTAAATATACTTGAACACTTATAGTCGTTTTTGGTGATATGGTTTTCTTTCTCTTTCTCAAAACAGAAATCAAAAGAGAAAAAATAAACAACCTTAAAAAAAACAAACATAATATTCATAGGCATCATGACACCAAACATTATGGTTCCATATAACATATCTCGGTGTTTTTGTCCACTGTAGCTCGTGCAGTTAAAAAAAAGAGCTATCTCCTTCTTTCTCGGTATTTAATTAAGTTTATTTTGAACAAAAGTTTCAGGACACTGCTTATAGATATATAAGAATGAGAGACATGATACGTACCAGTTGGGGAAGAGAGCATTGTCTTTTCCCCTAAACATGATTCCGACATTGGTGGCGTGATGCAGCGATGAATAGAAATCTGTGTAGTCGCCGATCTCTGCTGGCACATGCATTTGAGCCTCGCTTTGTTTAACAAACGCCCTGTTAAAACATCAGATTTAATATCCCCCTATTTCAGAATTGCTAATCAGAAAACAAAAACTTGTAAAAATTAGAAAATACAACCGCGTATTTTCAGATCCCGACAACTAAAAAAAAAACCTTTATAATTTTTGAAAATTGAATTAGTATGTAATTTATTTGCATTTAGGACAAATATATATTACTCGTAATGACATCATATATATACAAATCTATAAATGTGAATTCATATTACAAAACTGTATAGTGTAGGCAATATAAAATCATGCTACGACCAATAGGAGCCGACCATCATTGAAAAATGTTCTAAAAGCGTCGAAAATTTATTTCTTTTGAAACGCAGACGAAGTTGTGCGGGTTGGCTAGTGCTGGACATAGGCCTCTCTTACTAAGGAGGTTTTGACCTGCTATACACGCTGTCTAGACGGGTTGATAAGGTTTGTGTCAAGTTTTCCTTCTCTTTAGTGCTGTTGTCTCGCGTAGTTTGCTCCCTAAGTCAGCTCTTACGACACCTACGGGGTGAAACACTGCGTATTCTTAATCCGTTAACTGTCGTACCTTTGCCTAAGAGCACTGTCATTTTGGAGCGTAGGGTTTGTCGCGTCGAGCAGTTTCTGTATTGTGTTTCGTGCTTCTACCCAGTAAGGTCTTGTGAGGCCCATAAACTCATTAAGTTTTTGTTCCTGAAAAAAGCATTAATCAAATAGTATGAAAGTTGCTTTTATATTTAAAAAATGTAGGTAAGGTTATTTCTTGGTTCCTGTTAGTTTAGTAAGTACTATTGACAAAAGTGGGCCAATCTTCAATTTTATTTTTTGCAATTTACGCAAACGGTTTTCATTACCGGTCTGTTTCACTCTCGTTGCTCTTACTATATCTCTGTATTTTTAAATCACTATAATATTAAAAATATAAAAAAAAAAAAATAGAATTAGAATAAATATTTTGAAAAATTATTTAAAACTAAATAATTTTTATTAATTTAATTAATTTTTATTATTAAGCGGTAACAAATAAGTATTATAAATATACCTAACATGATCATAGATAACTGACTTTTTAAAAAGTATAGTATAAATATAATAGTATAGTATAAATATAAAAGTATAGTATAAAAAGTATACCATACTTGTCTTTAAAATAATAGTAATTCATTTGCCATCCTGTGGAATATTTTCTTCTATTTCTGTGTTACCAACCTTCGGTGCAACCAATTGCCAAACGCAACAACTTAAAAAAATATACTCAATATATATTTTTTTAAGTTGTTGTTATTAATCGGCTCACAAAGTGATAAAAAAAACGAATAATTGGACGTAGTTACACGATAGGGATCCAATCCACATGAAGCTAGTTTTGAGATATTTAACTTTAAAGTTTAAGTCGTAATTCTTCTACGATGCGGTACCATAAATTAGTGGGTTTTATTAAAATTAGCAGGAAATCTTGTTATATTTTAACTATAAATCAAATTCACTAAGTTTGATTTCATATTTTCAATAATATTCAAGAAAATAAGGGCTTGGATCCTTTTTGATATATAGTATTCTCAATAAGACAAGCATAAAATGATAGTTTCGCAGTAAAGCTCCAATTCATCAACTGCTAACGAAATCTTTAAAAATAACTAATAAATAAATAAAAATGTATTATTCTTATAACATACCTATCAATTTAAAAAAAAAAGATCAAAAAAAATTAGATCAATACTGTTGATAACATAATTAAACTGTAATCAAAACAAAACGTTGCATAATCTTTATAATGCTCATTCTGCCTGACTTTTATTTTCAATCTGAAAATCAAGCTGACCGCTGAATCTTTCAAGATCATCCTCTATATTTTTATCCCCCTGAAGAGACTTGTAAAAGTCTAAACAGTCTTTCGGAATTAAGTGGAACATTGACTTCAGATCATCCAGTTTAGGTTGAGCGATTTTTTTGCCTGTAGGCCACAACATGATAAAGTCGTTTTCAGAAAAATCTAAAGATTTTCCTTTTACTTTCTTCTGTATATTAAGTTCATAATACTGGTCATTATTTATTTCACTCTTCATAAAAATAATATATTTCTCTTCTTTCTTTAATGAAATCACTTTTGTTTGTAACCAATTAGTTTTCTGCTTGTTTGTAAAAGTTTTTCTGTTTACTATATTTTTTTCAATATTTTTTGAGCTCAGGAAGTCCTCTTTAACCATTTTTTTAACTTCGACCGGATTCTTTCTTTTGGAGATCCTAATGACTTGCATATACTCGTCAGCAGTGTAAATTCGTTGATGAAATTTTAATTGGCTTTCAATTTTGGAAAAGTCAAGTCAAGTCAAGTCATATATAGCAATAACCAGTATTATTAGAGCCGGCGTGGATACCACAGTTATACAACCACAAATGCCTTTTATAAAAAATAATGCTGGTTGGTATACGTGAAAGTGTTTTTTCTAAATCGAATGTTAAGCATTCAAATTCTTCGTCAGTTTTTGTCTGTGCTATATCTTCGTTCATATATTTTCTCAAATCTTCTGCTTTTTTTAGGTGAATTTCTTTTTCATGTTGTAACTTTTCTTTCTTTTCATCTAACAAACAATTTTTTTATTTTATTAGTAAAAGTATCACACCTTGTGCAAGTGTCTTTTTTTAGTGTCTTGCAGCGTAAATTAAAATATTTATCAAATATGCGTTTTACTGTATCCTATGACAATAAACTCTTCGAACTGCCGTATACATTCCCAAATTTTTTTTGTATCGTCATTCTTAATTCCAAATACATAACACCATTACTTTGTTCTCTTCTATAATGCGATTGATATTTAGGTAATGAGCTTATGATATCCTTAACGAACTCCAACCACCTTGTGAAAGTCCTCTTCTGTCTTTAATCATGTACCCATTTCGATTTTTTCGTAGAGAAACATCAATTTTTTTAGTTGTTATTTGAAAATTTTTCAAAAACATGGGTTTACAAACTTCAACCCCACATATAGTGTATTTTCTTCAGTGTTCTCTGGGTCTTTTCTTATTTGTTTTATTTTCTTTAGTGACTGTATAAGATCTTGTTTTGGGTCTTTCTTCTACATTATTTACTATATATAATAATTGGGCTTCATAAGAGCCCAATAAAACAAATTTTTGGAATTCTTCTTCTCTTTTTTCTAGTTTTAACTGGTTACATTGTTTGATACAATTACAGGTAAAATCTTGAAATTTTTTTGCCGGAATATATTTTTTCTTTGAAAAATATCATCATCATCATCAGCCTATCGCAGTCCACTGCTGGACATAGGCCTTTTTTTGAATATTATGGTAAGTTTAAATATCTCCGTTGTTTAGTTTGAGCAACAGTGTGATTTAGATATATTCGTTTTCTACCCTATTTTGGTCGACCTTCTGAAGATAAATTCTCTATTTCTTGTTGTGTAGTAGCATCATTTCGAATTTCATTATTCGATTTACATTCTATCATATCACTGTTATTTATAACTTCGACATTGGTATTAATGGTCGTGAGTATGCGTGGTATGTCATTATCAATTCTTTGTCAATTTTTTAACTCTTGTGCTTTGGATTCTTTTTATGTTTTTCACACTATTTTATGAGTTATTGATAATGTTCATCAGAAAGGTTCCAAGTGTTTTGGATCGTTTGTGTGAATTACTATGTATAGATTTTTTTAATAATTATAATTATCAGAAATGATCCACGTGAATTGGATCTCTTTTAAGATTATATATTTTAAATAAGTACCAATAAACACTTTTTCTTACTAATGATCCATGAAGATTGGATTGTTTAAGTTGCTTCAAAACAAATGCCCGCCATACATGTGGACTGGTACCTTGTGTTGATAACAATGACACTGTTTCGTATTTCACTGGAATCTTTTTACTGCATTAAAGTATCGACCTTCACGGACTTTTTGGCATACTTAACTCAGTTTTGGTAGTTTTGTGGATTGGATCCTTTTTGTGTAACTACGTCCAATTGAGACCCATATATGTATAACATGTAATACGCTTTGAAATTTCCAATATTTGCACTAAGTGAGGATCGATCCAGGAGTCCTATAAGGAATCAATCAATAAAGGTGGTAATTTTAAATTAGCGGTAGGTTATCGGGTGGTTCCGTAAGTAAATCGTTGTTACGTGATATCGCTGCTAACAGGTCCAGCAGCCTACTAATAAGGACTATGCAGTACCTATGCGTAGATTATAAAACTCGAAACTACATGTGATTGGTGTTATTCTGATAAATATTTTTTTAAAGAATACTTGTAACCAAGGGATTTTTTTTTAAAGACAACTCCCGCACTAGGAATAAATCCTGTGTCGCGGGGGACTTTACAAACATATATGAAAGGGACACAAAGGACACCCAGACTCAGAACAACAATTTGTGGATCACACAAAGTGTCGTCCCATGTGGGGATCGGACCCACAACACTCAGCGTAGTAGTAAGCGGCGTGGCGACCGCTTAAACCGCTACGCCACCCGTGCAGTAATTATACCCCTTCGCTCTGTCTACACTTGATTTTTTTTTACACTTGGACAGGTTTTAGTTGATTAGTGATGAGAAGAAATAGTCGATAAGTAATGATCTAAAATGTAGCCAATTAGATTAGAAATGACATTCGATTATATTTAAGAGCTTAATTTATGATCAATAAAAAAAAAAACCTGAAAATTATTTTTAGCTAAAGTACTGAAGTTGTTTAATAAATTATATTACCGATGTAATGTTACTGAGAACTTAAGTGACAAATCTAGTTTGTATTATAATCTTTAATTTTATAATAAATAATCATAACTAATTTAAAACAAAACAAAAAAAAAACATTTTTTTTATAAATAGGTACTAAAACTATTTATTATTATAAACAAAAAGTCTTAATTTACTGATTCTAATAGTCTGATTCTGAATCATTTATTTTGCTGCATTCACAATATCAGTTTGTATAGTGTAATTTAACCATATATGCCTGCCTGTAGGTAATCTACATATTTTACAGTTCAATTATACAAACTCTAGTAAGTAGGTACTATACGTTTGCAAGCAAATGACAAAAATAAAACAAATAAATGGGCAAAATACTGTGCACGTGTTCCTACCTATTTAATAAGAATACAAATCGTACAGTACGTTATATCTACTTGTTCATAATAAACAACAACATTTCTGATTAATGATTCATGAAAATGCATAGAGATAAGAGTCTTAAGTTTATAAATTTACCTTGAAAACATTCTGTTTGCTCTTTAACAAAGGTCCATCGAATAGATGTGCGATCACATGTAAATCCAGTATCAAATCTCCGATAGCAACTCCGATGTGTTTTTCATGCTACAAAAATATAAATCATTTGCAAAGTTATGCTAAATAAATAAACAAAAATATTTTAACAATACTTCTAAATGAAAAAGTATGTAGCTCTCGAACATTTCTGACAACCAAAATACCTTCTGAATTAAGTTGGTTGCAAGCAATGTCAAATAAAACACTTTGTACTAAAGTTCAAACGACTAATATTTTTAGCGTTCTTATCTTCAGAGAAATACAGTTTACTTTGGTGTAATATGATAAAATTTACTCACATTTTGAGCTGATGTGAAGACTCCAAAAGGTAAATTTTCGATTGGAAAATCAGAATCCGGCGAATATTCGATAAAAGATTTCATTTTCACGTCCTTTTGCGTTGGCAACCAGTCGGAATGTGTTTTCAACTAGTGGTGTAACGGGTGTAACTATAAAAGTTGTTATGGAAATGTGATGAGCCGGTTTCTCGTCCGACGGGATGTTAACCAGGTGAACTGGTGAATACAAAGTCAAGATCAGTTTATAACTATAAGTAATTCAGTGGACAGTTACGTAAGAATATTATTCTATTGAAAAACAAAAGCCAATAACTAGATTGGTGTAGGTTAATATTAAACACTCGCAGTTTTAAGGTTATGTAAGAGAAAGACGAATATTGTTTCATTTTAATGATGATAGATAACTGTGAAACATCTTTATTGTGTATTAGATAACAAGATAAATAAGACTCGTACAAGAATCTAGATATTGTCAAGTAAGACATAAGTACCTACCTATGTAAGTTGAAGATAGGAATCTAGGTAATAGTTTATTATAGGCACTTACCTTAATAATAACCATAATTTATAGGCAAATTAAAATTTCTTCTCATTAATTTGGATATTCAGATGGATTAGTTAATACTTACATATACCTATTGAAAGTTTAAATAACTAGCACAGCGATTATAAGAAAATCATTAGGGGGTTCTGCAGGCTGCACCTGATCAATACCTAATACCTACATATTTCTTTTTAATACGCTTTTATTAGCCTGGTATGTATGTATGTAATGGAATCTTCGAACGTGATTTTGACCCACTTCGAAACGAATGAAATTGAAACTTCGCACACTAATCAAGGACTGAGGACAATAAAATAATTATATACACTTGGCCGATTATCCTGATCAGGATCGTCAGGATTAATGGCTTTTACGATACCTAAAAATAGCGTAGTATCTTTTGCTACGTACTAAGAGGCGTGTGCTAAAGCATATGTGACTTAGGTACCTACTTGTTACTTTTTAAGTCTTAATGACAACAATTGCCATTAAGACTACAAAATCAAAAATAAACTGTAGTTAAAAAAAAACGAAAAAACACGCTTTTGTAACTAGCCGAACTAAAACGTACAAGATAATATGGGTAAGTTCAAAAAGAAAAATAATTTTATCGTAAAAAAAGCGTGGGGTCATTTCAAGATATTTTATAATATAATAACTTTACTTTAGCCAATATCTGTCAATAAAATATTTTTTCAACAATTGATATCTAAGCATCTCACGCATTTTTACGATAAAATTATTTTTCTTTTTGAACTTATCAAAATATGATGAGATTGATTGAAATTATGAGATATATTTATGAGATTGTTTGAAAAAAAGACTTAAGGCGCGGGTGTAACAAAAGTTCTCAGTTTAAGTCAATGGTCATTTTAAAAATCGTAACAATAACTACTTCGTATTCAAATTTGAAGTTAATTAAAAGTTAAATCAAATTGAAAATCTTCTTTTATTACACATTTAAGTATAAATTAGTACAATAACTTAGGTATTATTTACATATTGAAATTGACTCTTGTAAGGATCCCGGGGCTGGGGCGGATCGGCGCTCGACTATTCATCTTTGTTTGTACGATACTACTCAGCGAGTCGGCGACTGCCTGGAAAAAATATATGTGTAGTAATCCACTAAAGCAAAAATAATTGGATCAACCCTGTGTATTGTGATCAACCCTGCTTAAATTTGTCCAGAATGCTGTTACGGATGAGGAGTATTCATGGGATGGAATCATGAGATAACCCTCCTCCTTTTGTTACTGTACCTACCCCGTATCCTTTGTTAATCAGAAAGACATGCTACAAAACAGAGAGGGCGAGAATGTGACTACTTTTCTGCAAGCTCATATGCTTTTTAACGAAAAACTTCACAAATATGAGAGAGATATGCAATTTTATAAGCTTCATAGAACTGTTACATTCGTAAACGTTACCGTTAAAAAATTAAAATAAAGTTATAGATGAAAACATATAATTTTTACCTTAAGCTTATTCACACTATGGGCCTTGTGATCCACTACAAGACTGACCGCCATCTATGTGAGATGTGTCTCGTACTATAGCTGGAATGCCCAAGTAGGTATGTATGTACCCATTGTAACTCAATTCATATGGAATGATGATCATTAACATAATGACAAATATATGTATTCTCAGGCTCCAATGACATTCTTTTAGTTACAATCTAAGTTGTGTCCAAAAGTCTGAGCTGCGACTGCCAAAACCACACGGGGGGCTTCCAAAAAAAATATTTGTCAAAAAGTGTTTCAGAAAACGTTTTTGTAGGGGAACATCCCCTGAAATTTTGCTTAAGATTTAAAAATACTTAGATAGGTAGGCATTTTAAGACGTATCGTCTAGAAAACCTTTGTCCAGTATTCAATATTGCGATATTTTAGCTATATTCACACATTAGATATTACAAGAATTATACGAGTATAATATTCTATAATTTTTGTGATATCTAATGTGTTTTTAATTCATAGAGATCATAGTTCTGCTTATGAAGTTATTAGTAACACATTTCAAACTATTAATTACCTACAAGACCATCTCTTATTTTAAATACAATTGAAAATGAGCTTTAAAATAAATATATTATAATGCAATTAAAATATTTACAATATTTACATACAAAATCAAAAAAATCTTCTGCATCATTGCCTACTGGTAGCATTGCCACGTTGAATGGCAATGCTAATTCTCTGTGCTAGAAAAAGGCCGGCCTTCTGATCACGGGAAGTGTCGATCAGTTGCTCGTTGTTTACATAGCACGAGCACTCGGACCGCATCGGTCGACCCCAAACGGTTCAAAATGTAATTTCCTACGAAATTTTGGTATTTACGCCGTTTGAGGGTGTCTGCCGATGCAGTAAAAGCGCCGGCATAACCAGCTGTGCTTGGAGGATGTGATGGCGCTAAGGTGTCGACGCAAGTTGCGTCCCACCTCAAAGGCTTCGCCATCTTCCATGGCAGCAACGATCATCCATCCAACAAGGTGCCTATGTTGGGCAATGGAAATGCCTGAATTCATGTCTGATTCCCATTCTCCCACAGCCAATAAACGAGCGCGCTCAGCAAGATTGATTGATGTATTAGTGTTTTTTGTTTTGAAATACATAGTGGCGCGTCCCATTGTCTCTGAGAGGTAATATTGTATGGGCACAAACTATCCGCCAGGCATGCATGGCGTCGGCATTGCAAGACACTTCAGAATCAACCAGTGCATTTATTAGAATTTTCCTGGCTAACTTTTCTGTGCCATGGACCGAAGACAGAAATGCTGGAAGGCTGACATCTACAATTTTGCGAAATTTACAAAATACAAAATAAATTAAATTTACAAAATACTCCAAGACCAGCCAAGTGAACTGGTAAGGATGCTTGGAGCATGGCTCGATCGTTTCATTTCACACACATTCAAAACTTTACTAAGGGTGTTCTGAATAATTTTCTTTTTTTTTATTACTTACAAATTATTAGTTACAAAAATATTTGCCGGCCTATCTTTTGAAATTAAATATTTGATATTCGCAGAATATGATTGAAGCCTAAAAAAACGTTAAGGAAATGATAGACATCATTACTGTTTTTTTTTTCAGCGGGGTACCTAGATAAAGAAATAATAAACCGCATTTAGTAGGTCCTAGTATCAAATACTACTTGGACATTTCAGTTGGCCTACGAAGTTATTTCTAAGCGTGTAGTGTACGGCGTGAATACTGTTTACCTCTAAATTATCTACGTATTTCTAGTTCTATTATGATAGGATGCAACAATGGCTACAAAACGTGTCTAAATGATCTAATATACCCATCATGCACAATATATATGTAGGTAGGTACCGATCGTTACTTGAATACGGTACGGAATATCAAGTTAAACCAGTATCTCGTTATTAAACGCCAAAGGAGTAGGTTCATAAGAAAATTGTTTATGTAAATACCTGATGTCATATTATATTATTTTGATCGTTTTTAATTACGTTATGCGTAGGTATTATGCTAGGGATTATGAATGAAAAGGGGCGTGGTCACAGGCTAGAGTTATGTTACGGGCTGTGGCAGCCTGCGACTGCGGTCGTGCTGTGCAACCATTGTATAACTACTACTTGGAATTAATCGTCTACCGTTAATTAATCATAAAAGGTAGGTCTCACTCAATCATAAAAAAATGGTCTTAAGACATTCTTGGTTCATCATAAAGAATCAAATTTTTGAAATGAACGTTTTCAAACTTAATTCCAAGATTACTGTTTAATTGTTTGATGTTAACATTTAAAAATCCCAGAAGTAATAATATAATAATGGTTAAAGTATGTAATTTCCGTTGTATAATAATGGATACTTTTAATTGACATAAAACCTTCATGGTGTGTGATTTTTTAATGAGCGTAATTTTTTTTTTTGGTAAATTTTCTAGCTAATCCTCAATCGCTTCAATCATTAATAGATTAACCGCCCTCGAAACCCCCTGCATAATAAATTTCATGAAAATTGTTGGAGCCGTTTCCGAGATTCAAGTCTTTCATTTAAAATATTTGAAAGATAAGACAAGGTACGCATCTATGATTCTCACACCTTTAACATGCCATGATAATAGTGTAGGATGTTCAAAATAGTTACAGCTGCACTCCGATCTTTTTGTATGGTGTTGCTTCTGTATTCGGGCATCTTTTATGGTTTCTACAAGTTTGTCAACGTTTTCTGTCGGGGTCGCCTCATTAAGTCAGGGCCGTGGATATTCTTTAATGGAATCTCCGCCTTGCTTGAATATGTTATCTGTCATAAACCGACGATATTTCTTTTTTGCTTGATATCTTGATGACAGAGCTACAGTTAAACCGCCGTAAGCTTTGCCCTCCTGATGGTTTGCGGGACGCGGGGCGGGTGATGCGCTCGGCTATACATGACACGATGTACTAACTCGATATCTTCAGATTTATTTGTTTGAGATTTAATCTACACACGATGTAATATAAATCGAATTTATTTCCATGTATTATAATGTCAGTGTATTGTAAGTTTTTGTGATTAATTGAAAA